CAATGGGGCATGGGCGGGCGCCGGATACCACTGGAAACTCGATCAGACGCCTGCCCTTGTCCCGCGGTTTCCGGAAACTAGTACCTCCGAGGTACTAGTTTTTAACCGTGCATCTTCGGCGGGAAGCCTCGGGTTCGCCACGGGAGCTCTACGCTTCCCAGATGTGGCGGTGAGATCGCGCCCGGAAAATCCGCCTATCTTCCGTCACAGTAGCATGGCTACTGCTCCGTGTGACCACAGCCTATTTACTAACAGAGTCTCCTCCTAATTTACCCAGAACAGGCATTAAGCTAATTGGCCTGTAATTCCCTTTGGATCGGGTCAAGTTCCAGGTCAAGTTCAAGGTGCTGGTCTTAACCTTTAAAGCCCTTTGCGGTCTTGGGACCGACATATCTAAGGGACCGTCTCTCCTGGCACGTCCCCCAAAGACTGTTACCCACAATGGATCAAAATCTCCTGGTGATCCCTGGCTGAAAGATATCCGCTTAGCCTTAACCAGAGCCTTTGGCTCTGGCGCCAGCCTGCTGGAATGTTCTCTCAAATGAGGTCTGGGCCCTGCGGGACCTAGTGCAATTCCACAAGGCCTACAACAGAAATGTTCCGGCAGGCCTATAGCTGAGGAGGCAGTAATTCAGTTTGGTGTGCTGGTGAAGTGCGCGGACTCTAATCTGGGAGGACCGGGTTTGATTCCCCACTCCTCCACTTGCACCTGCTGGATGACCTTGGGCAAGTCGTAGTTCTGATAAGAGCTGTTCTCGAAAAAGAGCAGTTTCTGTCAGAGCTCTCTCAGCCCCACCTACCTCACAGGGTGTCTATTGCAGGGAGGGGAAGGGAAAGGAGTTTGTAAGCCGCTCTGAGACTCCATCGGGTAGCGAAGGGCGAATCCAATCTCTTCTTCTTCTTCTATATTGGCCTCCCCCTGGCTTGTCACCTTGTCACTTTTCCTTTGGCTGTCCAGCTGTTGTAATGCCGTCTTAAGATCCACGGACACACTTGAATTATAATCGCCTCTGAGAAAAGACGCACCAAGCTGTATCAGACCTTGTGCTGCCGTCCGACTGATTAGATTTAAACTGTTTATAAATTGCTGTTGTAAATCGGGTTTTAATGATTAATTAATTGATTGTTTTAATATTTTGTCGAAGGCTTTCACGGCCGGAGTTCATTAGCTGTTGTAGATTTTCCGGGCTGTATGGCCATGGTCTTGGCATTGTAGGACCTGACGTTTCGCCAGTAGCTGTGACTGGCCTCTTCAGAGGTATAACACAGAAAGATGGAGTACTCTCTGTGTCAAGGTGAGAAGCAAAATGGTAGGCAGGTAATTTATATCTACTCAGGAAGGTGGGGTAGGGCTAAGTCATTATCTTGTAGGAGTTCCCCAGGCTGTGAACATGCTAATAGAGGAGCTTTCCTGAGGAGGTTCTTTTGCATATGGATTGTGTCCTGAGGAGGTTTCCTGAGGAGGTTCTTTAGCATATTGTTTGTTGGTACCTGTTCTTGCCCACCCTGAGCCCTGCTATTCAGGGGAGGGTGGGTTATAAGCTGAAGATAATTCATTCATTAATTAAATAAATAAAAGGATGAATCACATTAGCTTCCGTTCAAAACTGAAGAGTGGAGAAAAGAAAGAAGCAGGGCCTTTTCAGTGTTGGCTCCTCATTTGTGGAATCCCACTCGCATGCACACTGTTTTTATCCTGTGCTTCCTCCAAGGAGCACATGGGAACATACCTGTTCTCCCAACACCCCGTGTTACCTCCTCATCAGCCCTGGGAGGTGGGTTGGCAGAGTGAGAGAGGGGTGAGCCCGTGGTTAGCCCACAAACATCCAAGTAGACTTGGGTTTGGATGGGTCTCCCCAAGCCTCCAGAGTCTTCTGTTTTTGGTCTGTTGCCCAATTGGGGATTCTTAAACATTGTGTTGATTAACTATTGCTGTGTGTATCTTATTTAATTTCTCTTCCTCTTATATTAATTGTTCGACCCTGTGCTGTTCTTTAAAAGCATTGGATTGTGTACTTCTCTGCTGCCTTTGTTATCGGTCTGAGTTTTCTTCTTAGCTTTCTTTTCATTCTAGTTTGAAGAACTTCTAATTTTGTCCGTGGTTGAGATGATGGATCCGTGGTTGTTTCTAGGCCTTGGGGTGTTGTTGTTGTTTTTTAAAAAGCTGTTTGATAGTTCTGGTTAGGGGCTTGCAACTCCCTCGCCCCACTCCTGAACCTTTGCTAAACTTCTTGACAATGTTTCCTCTAATCTTTCCCCCCCTACTTGGCAGAGCAGTTCACATTCTGAGCAAAACATAACCGCTGTAATCTTCAAATGGGCAACGGGCAGTTTGCAGCTGAGTGGGGCCTCCTGGGTTAATGAGGGGCTGCTCATGCGTACAGCTTAGAGCAGGGGTGTCAAACATCCGGCCCGGGGGCTGGATCAGGCCCCCGGAGGGCTTCCATCAGGCCTGCTTCCAGTTCTGCTGCTGCTACATCATGGCTTGCTTCGCCAGACTCTCTCACTCACTCAGCCATTTCATGTTGTAACCTGGGTCCCAGACTCAGAACTCTGAGCATGAGATTTCGGTGGCGGATCTCAATACATCAAAAGTAGGTTTGCCGCTTACAGAGCTAATGTTTTAAGCATGTCTTTATTTTAAGTTTTTTAAATAATCTGTGTGTTTTCCTTTATAAAGTTTATATCCCCGTTACCTGGCATTACATTTTATGACGCATCCGGCCCGGCCCAACAAGGTCTCATTTATGTCAGATCCGGCCGTCATAACAAATGAGTTCGACACCCCTGGCTTAGAGGGACCGCTCCTTGGAGACCGTCTTGCTTCCGCCAGGTGTTTTGCCTGAGCAACCTGCTGGACTTACCGTATGTTTCTGATTTTGAGTGATGCCAATCCGGATGCAGTGTATGTTTTTAAGCACAAAGTTTATCATGGCAGCTAAGTATACGGCAGCGAACTTGCATCTATCGGTATATCAGGCTGTCACGTACAGTGTTAGATCAAGATGGGTAGCTGTGTTAGTCTGTCTGTAGAAATGGAAAAGAGCAAGGGTCCAGGAGCATCTTAAAGATTAACAAAACTTGTGGCAGGGGAAGAGCTTTCCAGAGTCACTGGCTCACTTCTTCAGATACAGCTGGAACAAGTCCATCTGTCCTTATATCACATCCTAGCTGTATCGGAAGAAGTGAGCCAGTGAATCACGAAAGCTCCTCCCCCTGACACCAATTTTGTTAGTCTTGAGGGTGCTCCTGGACTCTTGGTCTTTTCTATTTCTACAGACAGACTAACACGGCTCCCCAACTTGATCTAACACTTTAAGACATTGAGAAGGTCTGTAGTTCGGCAGTTCGAGACCCAAGTGCCGAATGGCGGAGTGAGGCTCCCGTCTCTGGCCCCAGCTCCTGCCAACCTAGCAGTTCGAAAGCAAGACATTGCTATTAGATAGATAGGTGGGAAGGCAACAGCATTCCGTGCACCTCGACGTCTAGTCATGCCGGCCACATGACCACGGAAACGTCTTCGGACAGCGCTGGTTCTTCGGCTTGGAAACGGAGATGAGCACTGTCCCCCTAGAGTCGGATTCGACTGGCTTTCGAGCAAGGGAAACCTTTACCTTAAGGTGCTAGTGGATTCTTGCTCTTTTTTACTACATACAGGTTTGGAAGCTGAAATGTTTGACATTAGTTTATTTGACTATTTGAGTGTATAACATAAGGTCACTGCTTGAAAATTTCCACCCCTCAAGTGCTTTTGAGAGATCCCTAACCTGGGCGACCCCAACCTTTTGAGTGAAGTCAAGACGGCTGGAGATTAACCAGGGCAGCGTGTGTGTATAGTAACTGTCAGCTAAGTTTCAGTTCATCTCTCTACCGGCAGTTTTGAATGATTGATTTTAAATCATTGTCTTTATATGGTAATCTGCCTTGAATTCCTGCAAGGCGGAAAGGCTGCAACTTAATGTTTTCAATAAATAAATAAGGGGAAGCTTACAAGACCCTTTCCCTCAGATTGGTATAAACAGAACCCAGGAGTCCCGGCCCCTAGAATCTTTCCAATTCCTAGCACACTCGACTTGAGTTTTCTGTCCCTTCTTAATTCTTTCTAGCGGCTCTCATGATGTCCGGCCCCACCTGGCTCCCCCCAAAGCAGGTGGGCGTCTCAGGATCTCCCGGGATCCTGGTTTCCGCTCCAGTGGCGTGCAAGCCCCAGAAGAGCTTTGCTACTGCTCCGACCGCCCCCCGGCCCGTGTACGGATCTCAGGAGGCGAACGGGACCATGAGCGCAATGGGGCCGGCCCCTCGGTACCCACCCCCTGCCGCAGGTAACGGGTCTGCTGGGAGCTGGGCTGAGCGGAAGCATGAACGGCAGGCAGCAGTCTCTAGAGCTGTGGTTTCCGGAAGCGCCATGCTGCCTGCGAACCTGAAACATCTGTCCAGAGGATGCCGCTGAGGGTTGCCAAACTCCAGGGGGGAGGTACAAAAACGGAGGGTCACAGTGTTAGGAAGACATGCACAGAAATATATATATCACTGTGCACAATAAATATAAGCTTATGGTAACACCATTTTATGCTTTATTCTTTTTATATTTTTCGATACTGTTGCCTAGATATTGGTATCAAATATTATCAAAAATATACCTGATAGAATTTGAAAGATACGCTGTCTTAGGTTATTATATGTTTGCCGCATGGGTTCTGATGGGACCCTAGACAAGTATGCTGCTATCTTAAGAGCTTTTGTGCTCACAAAGAAAAATTATCGCACCTTATGTCCTTTATATAAACATCACGGTCCTTGAAAAAGATTCATTCGAAACGGATAAGTTACTAGAGTCCCCTAGGACCAGAGATAGTGATACTGACAAAGTGCCGTCTGAATGTAAACCAGCACTCGATGTATTGTTTGGGTGAAACATATTTTTCTCTGTGTATTGTTTGGGTGAAATATATTTTTCTCTGTATTGTTTGGGTTGAAATATATTTTTCTCTGTGTATTGTTTGGGTGAAACATATTTTTCTCTGTGTATTGTTTGGGTGAAATATATTTTTGACAATATTTGATACCAATATTTAGACAACAGTATTGAAAAATATAAGAAGAAAAAGAATAAAGCATAACATTGTTTTACCATAAGCATATATGTATTGTAAAAGTTTCCCTTGCTCAAAAGCCAGTCGAATCCGACTCTAGGGGCACGGTGCTCATCTCCGTTTCCAAGCCGAAGACCCAGCGCTGTCCAGAGATGTTTTCCGTGGTCACGTGGCCGGCATGACTATACACCGAGGCGCACGGAACGCTGTAACCTTCCCACCGAAGCAGCACCTATTTATCTACTTGCAGTTTCTTGCTTTCGAACTGCTAGGTTGGCAGGAGCTGGGGCCAGAGACGGGAGCCTCACTCCGTCCTGCGGCACTCGGGTCTCGAACTGCCGAACTACCGACCTTCCGGTCTGCAGCTCAGCGTCTTAACCACTCGAGCCACCACAGCCCCATATTTATTGTATACAGTGATATATATTTTTGTATATCCTCCAGGTGGGGCCTGGAGCTCTCCCAGTATTATAGTTGCACCCTACTGAGGTCTCCTCCCCCCCCCAGGCCCCACCCCCCAAATCTCCAGGTATTTCCCAACCCTGAGGTGGGCACCCTCATGCCAAAGGAAGTTGCCAACCTCCAGGTGGCTGGGGGGGGGGCTTGAGATCTCTCAGAATTGCGGCTGCTCTCTGGGCGACAGAGAGGAGTTCCCCCGGAGAAAACGGCTGCCTTCCCCTCCCCAAATCTCCAGGGTTTTCCCAACCTGGAGCCGGCAGTCCTCGTGCCTCCGTGTGAACCCCTTTGGACTCTATTTTTCCTACTCCTTTCTCTGCCGACTTAGCAAGATAGCTGGTCTTTCAGGCCCGACAGGTAGGCGGTGAGAGAGCCTGGATCTGCCCCAGGCGATATGATATGATTGAAGTCCCCTGTCTACCTCGGCGGGGGGGGGGGCTGGGGCGGCGCCCGGCCTGGGGTATTCTGCCGGGGG